CACACGGTAGCGAAGGTGGTTGAGGAGGAGGAAGAGCAGCGAGAAGTGTCGGTGGGGATAGGAGGGAAGGAGGGAGGAGGGCTGGTTGTACCCGCGGATGATCCCCAGGTTGAGTCGCGCTGGGTTCAACGTCCTGGCGGGCAGCGCACCCGAGAGCTGAGGCAGGCAGCCGAGCAGCCACCAGACCTCTCTACAGACACGCATACACGTCTCATACGTGTGTACAACGCTCGTATACATGCGCACACGGGCGAACACTCGCGCACGCCACGCGTACCTACGCTCCACCGACATTGCACTTGCGCGCACGCGCTCCTCCACACACTGGTAGATTTTTTCGTTCGTGTGTGTGCGCGAGAAGTGCGGCGGGGTGGATAGGGGACGGAGGAGAGACGAGAAGGTAGTACGTACATGCACGACGTTGTATAAGAACAGACACACGGAAAGGCGAGCAACACGCACACGAGGAAACGTCGGCTGGCTTGTTCGCCTCTCGCGAGAGTTTGCTTTACGCGAACTATCCGTAGGTACTGTTACTTTTGCGACCAGGCCCTTTCGATCCCTTCTCTCGCCTGTCCCCCCTTGCTCCCCCTTTCTTTCTACTGCTTTCGCTTTGTTTTCTTCTAAGTAGCAGACGAGCCAAAGGGGGATACACGTAGAAAGGAAGACGAACGGACGACGTGAATTTCGAGGGACGTTGTGTGTTTTCGTGGTTTACCGATTTCAAAGGAACGATTTTTGTCTCCTCCTCTGTCTCGAAGACTCGAGTCGCTATTCGGATAACTCCGATAAGTCGTGGGAAATAGTCGCCGACTGCGAGAACGTAGGAAAGTCCACAGAGGCTCGGTGAGATTCCAGAAGAAAGGAGAAATCACTTTTACTCCAGAAGTAAACGATCCGCGCGAAGCAGAGAAAAAGTAGATTGACGGGAGATCGTTGAATTTGGAAACCTAAACGACCCGATATGCATTTAGGAAGTTTGTCACATTCCTCTCGCACGACTCTTTCCTCCGTATGTTCATTCATATTCATTCGTTCCTTTTTCGATCAGCGTGTCGGCGAGCATACGGAGACACAATTAACCCCAATGCCGTGTCCATTTTCACGCGTTCTCGCGTACGATCTCGATCAATCATTCGCTACTCACGAATCTCCAATTTCTCGATCACGTGACTTCGAATAAGTTAATCCCATCAAGGACAGGACGGGTGTCTGACTGGAAAAAAAAAGAAAGAAAGAAAAAAAGAAAGAGAGATGATACCGTTCGAAATTCAAAGAGGGTGAGAAACGCCACCGTTTCGGCGTGCTCTATAGTCATCTGTTACGTTGGGATAGGTCGAGGCGACGGTACGTGCACACAAACGACCGAGGAATTGGATCGTCCAATCTACCGGGTGTCGCTCGTCTACCATCTCCGCCAGAATTCTCAAGGAAAGGAGAGAGAGAGAAAAAAAAAAAAAGAACGAGAAACATTGGTTCTTGGTTTGCTCAGTTAGTCGGTTCGTTCGTGCGAGGAATTCGAGACTAGCCAGGACGCTTCCGTATCCGATAACGTTGTCGAACAAAAACGTCGCGGTGCATCGTGCGTTCGACGGGATTGCCAGTATTGCTTGCTGGTCGTTGCACAGCCAACACTACCACGACGAGGAAAAGAGAAGTCCCCTTCGCGCTGGTCGGTCGACCACGGTGGTGGAGTTACCGAATGGTGGATGCATATGTCGCGCGTGTATAAATATTGCGCAACACGCCGCGAGAATCGAAGGGAAAACATCGGCGGTACGACGACGTGTATTCCGTTACTCGGAGCGAACGACTGCCAGGGACTCGCTTTGCGTCATGTTTCTGGCCGGCCAACAGGCGAAACTTGACGACGTTCGCGTGTTGCTGGCGTTCCTCGAACGGACCTCGTTATCGTCAACGACGACCTCCGTGTCGGCATGATGGAATACAGAAAACGACAGCAACGACGAGGATAGAGTCTGGGAAACCAAGAGACATCGACACCGACTCCAATATTCTCTCTAACGTTTTGAGACGAGCGTAGTCGAGGAACGACAGATGACTCACGTTGGCCTAGGTCGCGTAAAAATCGTTCACAGTCGCCTCCGATCGCATCGTACGAAGCACCGAGTCGGAAGTCAATTCCCCGAACGAGCTTTCTCCCGTTTTCGCGTGCAAGAAAGGTACAGGCGGCGCGGAGGGACGCGTCTCAAGGGACGCTATGCCGAAGAAGAGCTATTAAGAGGGAAAAGCGTGTGCGTGGCGATTACGAGCGTTACGCGAGAAAGCTCCGGGCGAATTAAGCAACGATATTAACGTTCGATTACGTTCTACATACAAGCGCAATCATGAAAATCACAGTTCCGGCCGAACGTGTTCGGAGGCCGCCGAAGCTGAGGAGCCTCGAGTTGAGTCGAGGTCGACGTCCGGACGCAACAAGTGCTGCTGCGCGACTCTCGCTGCGCCCGCGATCCTCTTCGATATCGTACCGAGTCTTTCAACGATACCGGCTTGTTCCTCCTTAAATCCCCGAGACGTCTTCTCCTCTTGCAACCTAAACGTAACCTCGCTTTCCGAAGAAACGTTGTCCGTGACTTTGTTGTCGTCTTCCTTACGATATGTCGATGACGAAAGATCCTTCGAGACGACCGAGATATCCTCATTCCGTTTGAATCATCTCGCGATTACTGGACGTTAGCCGGTAGTCGAAGGACCTCGACGAGGTTGCGCAGCGGATGCACCGTGCAAAATTTTCGGTCTAGAAGACGGTCAATCCGGCGCAGAGCCTCGGGTTGAGTGCGAGGTCGACGCCCGGGCGCAACAAGTGCTGCATTACGTACGTATACGCTGTTACACCCCACCCCACACTCAACGACC